AGAAAGAAAGAAAGAAAGAAAGAAAGAAAGAAAGAAAGAAAGAAAGAAAGAAAGAAAGAAAGAAAAACAAAGACAAGCTCCAACAAAGCCAAAAACCCAAATAGTTATTACAAAAAAAAAGATTAAAAAAAATACAATAAAGCTGGTGAGGAGGGATAACACAACTTAGGAAAAGTAAAAAGGGCACACTGCACTTTGTTTAATTATCCAAGGCTCTTATTATGACTCTCTTCTCCAAAAACTTATCACCTTTTCCCCCCCTACGTTTCAACACCAGACTCCAGCTGTTGATAGAAACCCAGAAGAGCACCTGCAATAATACTCTCTCATGCTCTTCTCTCTATCTTATCAAATAGCAATGCCCTTGAAAAAGAGTCTCAGTTCTTTCTTTCTCAGCTTTGTCTGGTCACAGGGAAATAGAATATTTTCAAGCCTCTAGTTGGCAGTGTTACAAAGTTTCTTTGCTCTCACTTTCCCCCTCCTTTTCCGAGCAGGATATAATAAGAATTAATAAAAAAAGAAAAAGGTATTTTTAAAAAATGAAATAACTAAAGGGAGCCTCTAGCCTAAAATATTACAAAATCAAAAAGGAGAAGAAAAAATAGATATAAACGAAAAAAAACCAGTCCAGTTTCAAAATACAAGATCATATATAGAAAATCCAGCAATGAGAAAAAAACAACACATTACTTTGACATTCCTGTTTAAAATTGCCGCTTAATCACTTCTGTCAAAACTTTTACAGATTCTTTCTTTTCCTTAGGGTGTCCTTTCAGATCTTAGAGTAAAAAAAAAGTTCTCACCAAACCGGCACACTCTCTCTTTCTGCTCTATTCCGTTTCGGAGCTGTCCCAATTTCAGCAGCTTTAATGGCTGCCTCTTTGCTGTTGGCAAGAAGAGCTTCTCCTGGATCTACCAGGGACTTTGCGGTATCCCTGGGATCGACAGGATGCGCTCTTCACTTTCACCGTCTCTTCGGGACGGTTTAGATCCGATAGGACGGTCCAGGAGCAAATATATCAGCAGCGATCTCAGACCTCCAAGATCGCATGCCGTATCGTCGTGACGCCAGCTCCGCCCTCCAGGTTTTTCACCATTTTTAAAAGACAGGCTGGGAACTTTTTCAAAGAACTTAGTCGAATTATGTGCAGCCTTGTACATTTCAAGGCAAGACTGGGTTCCCCGCTTTAAAGTTTTTTGTCCTGTTTTGTGCTTGAGCCAGTCTTGATTGTGGAAAGAATCCTTGGTGCTCTCTGAGCCTCTGAACTTGGTTGTTTGCTTGAAGACGTTTCATTATCCGACTAGTAAACATCATCAGTGCATGATGATTCCCTGCAGTTTTCTTGGCAAGATTTCAGAAGTGATGTTGGAAGTTAAAATCCACCCCTCTCCTAGGAAAATGAAATATTTTAGAATATACTAAAAAGGCAGAATATTTCCCCTAAAAAGAAAAGTAGAAACTCAGAGAGGCAGAAACTCAGCCCCTCTCTCCCCACCTTTGCTAATGGACTATTACTCTGGCCTGGGCCAGTCTATTTTACATAACAAAGATCTACTCCAGGTAGAGCTATAATAGGATTTGCCCAAAGCCCTTTCATTACATCATCATTGTCCAGCAAGGTTCAACCAAGCCTGGGATTCTGAACAGCTCCTGCATGGCCCCATGAGAGTCTGACAACCAATCAGAATACAAGCTCAAATTCAAATCCCAACAGACGACCTAAAACTAAGGGACTCTCAGCATCTCTTCCCTTTCTTCTTTTCCTTCACCCAACATCTTCAAGTATGTGATCATCCTTTTCACTTTGGAGCTCCAAGCCATGTGGTCCTGTCCACCATTAAATCATCTTTCCAAGCAGTCACCATGTTTCCAGTGTCTTTCTTCCCCACTTGGAACTGAACCCAGAAGGATATTTCTTCCAACAGTGGTTTACCATTGCTTTAGATACTTTTGTACAATCCTACTTAGGGTATGTTACAGTTAGTAGTGGTGCCCGAGTGCTGTATTCTTAGCCCCAAATCAAAAATTCTGGAAGCAGAAACACGGTCTTTGAAATCTTGACGTTAGATTTAACTGCATCAGAAATTATGCAGGTGAGGTGGCCTGAACTTTCAGACTTCTAATATATAACAGGTCAACAACAATGAAGAAAACTGATGCAAAATCAATACAAGGAAAATAGTGCTGAAGGAAAACTGGAGTTGGGTGCTGTGTGAATCAAGTCAAAATCAGTTTCTTCTGGAAAAGGCTTTTTTGGGTTTTTTTGGTAGTTCAGTTCATAGAGAGAAGAAAGAGAAAGTGGTAAAGAAAAGGCACACACAGGTGTTAAATCTGTAGGGAAAAGATGAGAAACAATGATAACTATCCTGGGGCCAGAGTAGATGGTTTGAAGAACCATAAGGTGAAATCAGCTGCTTTGATGTATGATCTTAGTTAAAATCTCTACATTAATTATTTGCTCTATATTATGGATGTGCTTACTTTAGATAATGCAACCTTTAAAAAAGCAAATGCAGTGTATTAATTGATACAGTATGGAAAGAAAAGATGGTTTGCAAATATATAAAGACATATAGTGATATATTAGTGTAAACTATATCTAGAGTTCCTTTTCTGTCTTTCTTCCAAATTCTTTTTCCTATTTTTTATGAATTTTGTGTAACATTGCTCATTTCAAAAGAGTATCATGTGATGAATAGAAATGTGCATAAAAAAACTCATTGGTTTGACAATATTAGACATGTAAGAAAGGCTATGAAAAACAATGAAATTTAAGGGAAGTCTAGGCAAGGACTAGCTGGAAGCCAAATGCAAAGAGAAGTTGTCCAAGCCACAAGAAACACATATAAATTATAAAATCAGTTATTAGCATTTGAGATAAACCCTTCAGAAGACTAGATAACCCTTAAAGAATCTAAATTGGTTCAAACTAAGAAAAAAAGATCACAACAGTTCTTGAAAAATGAATAGATTCCATTCAAACTATTTTATAGTCTAACATCTCTTTGACAAATAGCAAGAAATGAATAAATGTCCAGAAATCTTTTGCAACATTATGGAAAACTTTGGTGATCAATGCAGGATCTATACTAGAGCCTTTTCTGTGTGGGAATATTCATTTTGTACAGTTTGTTAAAAACAGAGTTGCTACTCAGTACAACACAATACACATATTGGTAAATAATATTTTACATGCATGAGAAGAGTTTAAAGTATTACATATTTTAATCCTTAAACATTACAATTTCCTACTGCTGCTGTTTTAGCTTGTTTTAAACAAAAAGAAATCAATCCCTATCTTCCTATCACAATCATATAATTTATAATATTGTCCCCTATTTTCTTTCAAGTTACAAAAATATGGCTTTTATGAAACAATAACTTTAATTTGAAAAGAATGAATTTTATTACATTTACGTCCTCCCATTATAATCATAATATATCTTTCATCACTATGAGATGAATTGGGCTGAGATTTGACAATATCTAATTAATTTTGTGAAGATTTCAGTCTGTTATATTATTATTTTAGCATGCTAGGAAAGTTGCTTTTTCTAGTTGTAAATAGTAGTAGACAATGAAAGAAGCAATGCAATCTAGCAACACTTGTTCGAGTCTGAAATATTTGGCTGTGTTGGAGCAATAGGTCCACTAACAATACCTAACCAGATAGTTGACCAAACTGTACTTTTAAGGTAGTATTGATTTTAGAGCATTTGATAACTAGCCATGTTAATTATAATAAGAGATTGCTCATTTAAAATATAAAGCATGTTTGACTCCTGAAAATGAACAGTATATGATCAGCACTTTTGACTTAGTATTTGCTACATGTGCAGAATGTGTCATTGATTGCAGCTTACATTTCCCTAAAGTTGTCCTCTTTCATTTGCCTTTGAAAACAAGATTCTAGCCATTATTTAAATTCCAGTATGTGAACAATTTCTAGTAAAGTCTCAAAAGCCACAAGGGTGACTGCAAAAGCTGGATATTGTCTTTCAAAAATATGGAGCACAGATGTCTTCTATGTATTTTTATATACATTTTTGTATTATGAAAAGCAAGCTTTGAAAGAAGCAAGATTTATTAAGTCTTTACATCTGTATCTTGATACAAGAAAATAGGTAGAAACAATTTTTAAATCTACATTTCTGTTTGTTTTTTAAAGTCAATATTAAAATCAGAATATCTTGGAAAATCAATTTCCCCAAAAGGCATATCTACAGCATGTTTTAACAAAAATGGTTAGCAATGTTTTGAGTAGTTAAAAGTCCAATAACATGAGAGGAACATAGGTCATTTCAGGACATTTTACCAGAAGATAAATGACAATGAATTTTGGGAAATTTTGAGATCCTTTAAGTGCTGTAGCTGGATGGTGAATGGAAGGAAAGATTTAACCTGGAAATAAGGAGAAACTTTCTGACAGTGAGATCAATCAACCAATGGAACAGCTTAGCCCTCGGAAGTTGTAGGAGCGCCATCACTTGAGACTTTCAAGAAGAGATTGGACTGCCATTCGTCAGAAATGGTGTAGGGTCTCCCACTTGGGCGGGGGGGTTGGACTAGATGACCTACAAGGTCCCTTCCAACTCTGATTATCTGTTATCTGCTCCATGCAACATATCTTTTAAAGCTACATGTTTCAAATATTAATTTATTTTCTCTGACTTTCAGTGAGCCCAAATCCTAATATTAACAGAACTGAACTGAGGTGTATGAATATTCCATTGCATCAGCGTTTTTCTTCATAGCATGTTCCAGATGAGTTCTGTGGGATATAAAGAAAAAAATAACTTGTTTATTAATATGAAAAAATAAGCAAGCAAGTAATGTTAAGAAAGCAATTGCATCTGACATGGACTCAAATGATCAGGCTTCCCTAATGTGGCACATTCTAGGTAGGTTGAATTTCAATTTACATTCATGCTTTCTGGAATTAAAGGTTGGGGCATGCTGGCTGAGATTTATGGAAAGTGAAATCCAACCCATTGGGCAGCACCAGTTCAGGTAAATAGAATATGTTATAATTAAAACTAATTTTGTAGGACTAGAAGAAATACTTAAATTGCTGGATTTAATGTTGAAATAATTGTTTAAGGAAACATATTTGGGAACACAGAAGTTATCAGACTCAAACGTGCTTTTTCAAAAGGCAAGTGGACTTTCTTTGTTTTTTCTTGAAGACGTTTCATTTCTCATCCAAGAAGCTTCTTCAGTTCTGACTGAATGGTGGAGAAGAGACGGATTTATATTTTTTGCAGTCATCTGGTCATTAGCACTGTTTCTGAGAGTAGGGTCTCCTGCTTGGGACTAGATGACCTACAAGTTGGACTAGATGACCTACAAGAACCCTTCCAACTGTTATCTGATTATCTGTTATCTGTTATCTGAGAGTTGTTGAAACCACTTGGTCTCATGCCCTGAAGGCCTCGAGCACCTTTGGGACAACCATGACCTAGATGACTGAGAATCTCCATAGACAGAAATTGTCAGGCTGTCGAGATATATTTGTTTATGGATATGGATGCATTTTCTTTGTATAAAATATATGCCTTGTCTAAGGTATATATTGTGAGAAATTAAATCAGTAATTTGTTTTTCCATGCGATAATTTATATTATTATTTTATTCATGTAATATGTTTCCATATATTGGACAGCGAAATGGGCATTCAAGATAATTGGCAATGGAAACAGTGCAAAATATCATTTGCTGAGATAGGGAGCTATGGAAATAAAGTAAAATAAATAAATAGTTAAAGCCCATTTTAAAAGCTAATATTGATCTTTGAAGCAGCTGATCCACGTAGAGTGTCATGGTGATTCCAAGTAGGTTATGGATTTTTCAGATGCAATGGGAAAGACATAAAGCCAGTGGATTGCTATTGTGGGAAAGCTCTCAGTCAATAGAGGTTGATGCTGTTGAATAGAAACTTGCACAACTAAGAGTTTTGATAGTCAAGAGTCATTCACAGACCTTGAGCAAGTATCAAGTCATAGAATAATCCAACAATCTTGCAGCTGTTAGAAAGGGTAAGACATTAGGCTAAAGGAAGTGTCCAGGCGGTTGACACTTGATTAAAGAACAGATTCAAACTTTGTAATAACAAACCTGTTTTCCTTGACCAGCGCCTTCCTTCTCTTGGATTTTTGGCTTTGATTTCAGGCTAACATATCTCATATTTGCACCAACTTTGTTCATGAACTCTTATAGGTGATTCAGAGCAGTTTACCTCATAGCTTCTCATCTACCATCTGGCTTAGACATTTTGACTGTGGCTCAACTTCCTTACCTCATTGTTTGCAAGTTCACAGCTGTGAACTATTTTGCACAGGATCAGGCTCATAGCCAAATAGCCATATCTAGTTGCCAGGGGAAGGATGGGACAGGAGTCAGCCTTGAACTCACTCCTTCTGCTCCCCATCCAAAGGCCAATTGTGTTACAGATAATTGTGAAAGGTTCTGATGGAGAATGGAGAAGGACAGTAAAGGCTTTGGAAATCAACATGACAAAAAAAAGCATCTTTGATCTCACCTTAGGATACTGAGTCAAATGCTGAATTGGAATATGTACCAGGTACCCCCAACTCACTAAAAGGCAACAGATAAATAGTTATCATTGTACAATTCATGTCACTTAGGAAAATAGAGCTGAATGCCTCAAGGCACACTTTACAGTTAGGGTTCTGAAAATCTCAGAATTAATTTAATATGTAATGATCCTAGTGCTTGAAATTGCTTTTTGAAATATGGAGTGAGGAAAAAACAACCATCCTGTAATTTGCTGCTATTCTCAGTAGTGCAACATCTTTTGTACTGAGCTTCCAGGAACAACATTTTAGACAAAAACAAGAACAAATTTTCTGACACGTTAAAAACTAACGCATTCATATCATGTAACATTTGCTTAATCAAAATCCACTGAAAAGTTAGTAGTTGACAAGTGCAGCTCCTACAAATAAGACCATCCAGAGCATTGACTATTGGCTTAGCTTGTGAATAGATGTTATGCATTAATTTGGGCAGCAAGGTGGTCATCTAGAGTAGAGGTCCCGGGCCGCGACCCATTGGGAACTGGACTGTTGAAGCCATGAGTGAGCTTGCAAAGCTTCATTTGCTAATGCACAGGATTTAGGTTGCACACACAAAGCTGCTGCCAGTCCACAGAATCAAAAAGGTTGAGGACACCTTTTACACATAAGATACCCATCACACAGCAAGATATCTCCTTATCCACTTGTCACTCATCTATTCCCAAAGATACCCCCAATTGCTCCAGGATATTTCCAAATCCCTTTTCTTTACTGTGATGATACATAAATAAAAAGCCAATTTGCAAAGTGTTGGAAGAAGCCTCTCGGTCCTAAGCAAATAGAATACACAGCAAGTTCTATTTATAATAAGAATAAAAGTTCTATTTTAAATAAGGTACATATTTCTATATAGATTCATGCTATGTGTCTGACTACCTTAAATTGTTCAATTCACAAATGAAATATCTGCTTTTCATATATATTTGTTCATCTTTACATGTTTTTTGGGAGGGGAAGTCCCCCTCTATCTCCTATCTTTCATTTTGCAGGCAAGCAATTTTACTAACTTAGTATTTCATATGTTTAACAAAGTAGGATAAATCTATAAAATCTTATGCAATGATAAGTGAATTAGTCTTTGAATCTTTATGGAAATTTGCATTGTTTTGCAGCTTCGTGTAGGAAATTTGATGTAATTTCATATTGCAGTCAGTACCTGGTATGACTTAACAGCTTCTTTTTCTCTTCTGATGGAGTCAGTTCCCATTGGATGGTTGTAAAAAGACAAAAAGATAATTTATTCCAACAGATTACAATATTACAATTAAATTATTAATGTAAGCATTAGTAAAAATAGCAGCAGTGATTCTGACGCAAGAGTCAGAATACAAAATACATTAATGTATTTATATCAGGGAACTTTTCTTTGTTATTCCTCTAATAAGTCTTATTATTCCTCTCGGCTGGGTAACACATAATTTTTCAGAAGATTTGATTAATTGTGACAATTGCTGCTCTCCTAAAAAGCCAATCTGTGTTAGGAAGGAATCAGACAGACTTTCAGATTGACCCATATCAATAAACTGAACATGGTAGAGTCATCACATTTGGTTTAAATTTAGCCATTCCCATTGACTAGAGAGTCATTTAATCGCAATAGCACTTAGATTCATATACCACTCCATTATGGTTTATAGTCCTCTCTGAGTGGTTTACAGCATATTCCCCCAACAATCTGGCTCCTCATTTTACTGACCTTGGAAGGATGAATGGCTGAGTAAACTTTGAGCTGGTCAGGATCGAACTCCTAGCAGTGGACAGAGTTAGTGTGCCATACTCCATTCAAACCACTGTGCCACCACAGCTCTCTAAGCAACTTTATGCTGCTTGTTTACAGGAAACCCAAATTCTGAAGAATTCTGGCTGACCATTTGAATACATTGTTTTGGTCCATTAAAAGTGTTATTCTAATGTCAATGCTGGATTATTATTTTTTTATGGTCAATGCAATGCTGTTTTTGTGAAGTTAAAATTATGTGGTTTTGAACTACAGATTGTCCTCGACTTACGACTACAACTGAGCCCAAAATTTTGGTTGCTGAGATAGTTGTTAAGTGAGTTTTGCACCAGTTTATAATTTTTCTTGCCACCATTGTTAAGCGAATCACTGCAGTTACTGATTTAGTAACACAGCCGTTAAATAGCTTCCTCATTGACTTTGCTTATCATAAGGTCTAAACAGTGATTACATGACCCCAGGACATTGCAGCTGTCATAAGTATGAGTCAGTTCCGAATTTTAATCACATGACCGTAGAATTCTGCAACACTGTTTCAGTGCAGTTGTAACTTCAAATGGCCACTAAATGAATGGCTGTAAATTGAGGACTACCTGTTTTGGATAAAAATGTACTTTGGAAAGGCATTTAAATTGGAGGGAATGGGAAGTTGTATTCAGTTTTAACTATTATATCTGCTAAAAATGTGAACCCTAATGAGGATGAGAACACAGGTAACTGTGGGATTCCCCAATTGGATGGTGTGAAACTCCTTACCTCTTTTGCTGAGACGCTTAATTGCTAGAGCTATCAGGCCCCCAAAGATCATAAAAAGAACAAGGGATGCTGTGACTCCACCAGTATAAAGCAAAACTTGCTTTAGGTAAATGGCAGCGTTTTCTGAAATTCAATATATTGGAAATGAAATAAGTCGACTAAGAAGTACATTCTTCTCTTGTAAGACTCCAAAATCTTAATATTAACTCTGTAGCTCTACAGATCTCCATCCATTTATATCAGAACTAAACACCCTTGACCTGAGACTCTGAACAATCTCTCACGTACTTTCTATATTTGGAAATAACATTATGAGGAAATGTGCCAAAATAAATTTTCGAAGAAAACGGGGGTGGATAAGTGGGGAGAATATGACCTTTTACAAATCTTCAGCATTTCTTATCATTATGAGTCATTTTGGAGAAATATATATTACAGCAAAATAATGCTTTTAAACATATTAATTAGTAAGTGCTTTCTAAGTTATTCTTTGTGATCGCTATGTCAAAAGAAACATGTTAAATTCCTATAAATTAAAGATTTCCATTTTGAAATGTTGTCTTGGTGCTTCATTATATTTCTAATATAGGACATAATAACAATAGCTGTAAAGCATAGAGACTGTAAAGAAAGTAAATATAAATTACTTTTTCTCTGAAAAAAATATGAGTAAACCAGCAGAGAGCAGCACTAATACACACATCTTTGGCAAAAGTCCTACCCTCCTCACTACAGAACTGTTTTGCAATTGTTTTTCGAAATTATTTTACTAAGATTTTTTTTTAAAGAATAGATATTGGACTACTGTACTATGATCCTTAAAAAATAATAATTCAGTGGATACCAAAACAAAATCATTGAGGAAATGGCAGCAGCCGCTGATCCAGTGTTAGCTTAAATGGATACAGATGATGATTGCAATTTGCATAGAAAGAGATCATGGTACCTTGACAAACAGGCATCTCAGTAGACCACTGGCCATCAGGCTGGCATTGCATCTTACTCGTTCCATTGAGAAGGAAGCCCTCAGTGCAGTAGAAGTGACATGTGGAGCTATAACTGAAGAGGCCCCAGGGATGGGAGCAGTTCTTTTTCATGTTTTCCGTCTCTTTAAGGGGGGGACACTTTATGGCTGTGGAGACAGACAGGAATTAAAATTAATAAAAGTACATCACAGGGTCATTTAGAGCTGGACAAAGGCATTCTTCACATTGTGAAGAAACGTCACACACTTGGTGTACAGACCTTGGATTCTATTATTGAAAGAGAGAATAATTCTCCCTCTTGCCGGATTCCAAGATCATCCTATGACCCTGATTGCTGGCAGATTTGGGGTGAACAAATGGATGGATGGATATGTATTTCAGGAAACAATGCCACCAATCCCTTCAAATTGCATCCAGGGACCACCTGCAGCCACAGAGCCTAAAGTATCCCTACCATGTTAATGTCCAGTTGATCAAATATAGGAACAGACTGCTGGGTGGTTGTGGCATTTTGCTTCACCCAAGATGGCTCTTTTTACAGTTTTACCTAAAAGTACATGTAATTAGACAAGCTTTTTGGAAAGGGCATTTGATAGTTGGGATGTTATTGCAGGGGAAAAAAGAAACCTCTCAATACTTCTTCAGTGTTGTCTACCCTACCTAAGACGGGCACGTTATTGAAGGAGGGCTTTTGCAGATAGTCTTACACTGCAAGGTGAAGTTGAAAAGTGTTAGATTCTCCTCCACAATTAATATAGGAGGAGAACCACATTGGTCTATGGTGGCAAAACAATCAGGAGCCTGATAGCACTTTTCTCATGGACTACAGCTCATTTTATCAGATGCCCACTGATATAGGATTTAAACTAAGCAAAGCTTTTCTAAAATAGTCATTTTGAGGTCTGCTATTCTATAAAACCATTGAGTGAGAAAGTGTTGTACTCACAGATACCAAAAAGTTTCAGCCATTTTCAGAATGGGTTGTTAACATATTAGGTTTTTAACACAGTACAACAATGATAAATTGCCTGTAATCTGTTTTACATCTAATCTGTCTTCCTTTCACCCACCCCAGACTTAGCCCAGTTTAAATCCTACATCCGTCTGGCCACTTTGTGCTTCTGATAAAGTAAGCTCAAGCTCACAAAATCATGTGGCTGTTAATCATATTTGTAATTGGAAAAAGTGCTACCAGACGCCTGTTTTTTGCCTTCACAGTTACAGCCATGTGGCATGAAACCAAGGAGCAGAAGGTCTCCCATAAATCACAGAAAGTGAAATAGGAAATCATCCTAATATATTTTGTTCATGTACATTCATTTATTAAATAATTTTTCCAATTGAAGAGAATGTATGTTGAACTGTGGAATTCTTTGTGCTCTCTGAGCTTAGTTATTTGCTTGCAGATGTTTCCCTCCTGCATTTCAAGCATTACATAGCACTCAATGTGATAAGTTCTCTGACCTTCACAAAACTGTGCAAATCCTGCCCACTCTCCTGTGGCCGTACAGTTCAGCCTTTTGGATCCAATTCTTTTAAAACCCCTCTCACAGGAGAAGACGCAGCTGGAGTTATATGTGAAGTTTCCATAAGATTGAGAGCATTTGAACTGTCCGTTCTTTGGAGCCTGCAATTCAGGGCACTTGATTGCTGGTGAAAAACAAATTGAAACCTTTAGGAGAAAGATCTACAAATGGTGCAGAAAGAAGCAGGAGGAAGAAAATATTAAGCAATTAATAATAGGAACAGCAAATGAAAGAGAAGGTTGTTAGTGACTGATGAGCTACTGCATAATAAATTCACAAACTAGAAACATCTGGGAATATTAGACACTAGGCCAAAAAAAAATAACACTAAGCTTGTATGAAAGTTGCTCTTTATTTTAAGCTTTTTGAATTATTTGCGTCATTTCTGCAGAATGTTCATATTCTACCTATCATTTATCACTGGAATGTATTATTTAATTTGATTTTAGAAGAGCACTGCTTCTTTGGTGCTAAATGCTTAAGTCTCAATTAGTATATCTGTACCTTAAGATTGTTTCTTTATGGGAGAGAGGGGGGAAAAAAGAGGGGGGAGAACAATCAATGAAAAATAAATGTGCTCTGCATAGAGCATTTGCATATGTGCTTTGGTACATTACTTCAGATTGTATTTTAATTTTGATTATTTTATTATGTCAGGAGCCCAGAGTCACTGGGAGGTGGGTAGATTCTAAGTTCAACAAAATAAAAAAAAAAAGCTTTTGTATAAAGGTAAAGGTTCCCCTCGCACATATGTGCTAGTCTTTCCAAACTCTAGGGGTCAGTGCTCATCTCCATTTCAAAGCCGAAGAACCAGCGCTGTCCAAAGACCACATCTCTGTGGTCATTTAGCCGGCATGACTAAACGCCAAAGGCGCACAGAATACTGTTACGTTACCACCAAAGGTGGTCTCTATTTTTCTACTTGCATTTTTTATGTGCTTTCAAACTGCTAGGTTGGCAGAATCTGGGACAAGTAAGCTCACCCCATTACAGGGCACTAGGGATTCGAACCGCTGAACTGCTGACCTTTTGGTCGAAAGCCCAGCATCTTAGCTCCTGAGCCATCATGTCTGTATATACTGTTATACAGTATATGCTTGTAATAAACCAAACATACAGAAAGCATTTTTGTTGCTAAGATGTGGAGTGCTATCAAATTTGTTATTTCTGCTACTTCAGTAGTGGGATTCAATTTTTTTTACTACCGGTTCTGTGGGCGTGGCTTGATGGGCATGGCAGGGGAAGGATACTGTAAAATCTCCAGTCAGAATTGGTATTTGCCGGTTCTCCAAACTACTCAAAATTTCCACTACCAGTTCTCCAGAACTGGTCAGAACCTGCTGAATACCACCTCTGTGCTACTTGTTTGGAATTATAAACCAAGAAGCTTATTCAAACAGACAGTGTGCTGTAAGAGTAAGCTATGTAATGTATCTTTCTATCCGTCATATAATGCCTACAAAAATAAGACCAGAGGCATTATAGAAATCAGGAAAATTGACTTACTGAAAATTAGATACTTATTTCATTTTTTTGAAATCCTCAACAAATTGTATGACTTTACCAGCTCTAAAAATAAAGCTACATTTGATTTGGAGCAGGGGTGGGATTCTACAGGTTCACACCTATTTGCTAGAACCAGGTGTTAACATTCAAAGCAGTTCAGAGAACCGGTTGTTAGAAGAAATTACTGGCCTAATCCTTTAAGGAAGGCAGGAAGGAAACATTTTGGTGTTGCTTACAGAAACTGCCTCTCTGTTAATCCTTATTACGTTCTTGGCAGGACTAGACTTCCTGTCTCAGGAACGTCTCTGGAGTTTTTTTCCCCTCCTTTGCTGGTACTTTGCTTATATGGAGTGACCATTCAAAGTTACAATGGCATGGAAAAAAGTGACTTATGACCCTTTTTCACACTTATGACTGTTGCAGCATCCCCACAGTCATGAGAGGCCAGGCAAGGAGATGCATGCCTCGATGTGAGTGATATTGAGTTGGCCACGCCCAGCCAATAACATGACCTCCAAGCCATGCCCACCAACTAAGAAACACCCACAGGTTGTTAAAAAGTTTGAATCCCACCCCTGATTTGGAGATAAGCCACCATGATAGAGATAGAGAATTTCGAGCCTCCAACCCACATTGTTTCCTAAAACCTACCTTCACAGATGGGTGTCTGTCCAGTCCAGTTTCCCTGATCTGTGCAGTTCAGCTTCTCTGACCCAGCTAACTGAAACCCAGAGTTGCAGGAGAAGGTGCAGCTGGAGTAATATGCAAAATGTCCATAAGGATTAGAGCAATTTTCTTTGCCATTTTCTGGGGTTTTCAGTGGTGGGCATTGGACAGCTAAAACAGGTACAAGTACAAATTAAAATAAACTATATCATCTTGGATGAATCAAATAATGCATATTGTTCAATTATGTTTTCACAGGTAATCAATCAGTTCTTATACTGTAAAAAGGCAGTTATGTTTCTGCCCCTGTCTTTTATCAACAATAAGTGTTTTCAGAATCACACTTTTATAGAGTCAGTTTTCTTTTGAAGATACAGCATTGCAGGCTTACTGTATTTTAACTATTTTTATTAATTTGCAAGTTGAGTAGAAGGACAAATTTAGACTAATTATTAAAGTTTTATCACCTCTTCTGAAAATAAACCCCATACAGTGCTTGAAGGCTCACAAAGCTTTCTAATGCTTCTCAGTCAGGTGGTCAACTCTATCATCTTTTTTTTTTTGTCTTCCATTAAATGAATTATTCCATCTCCCACCTGGATAGATGGCAATTCATTCAATCACCGGACAACACTAGCTGTTAAAGCCACTAAGATATGCACACGATAGGAGATGGAATGTTGTTGAAATGGGACCTCCTCCTTTCCTCCCAAAGCATTCAGTGAAAACGGGAAAGAAAATTGGCTCATAAACTTCATGGGTTTCATTGTCTAGACATGAATGCTTCTAGCATGGAAATATAATAAGTTTGATCTCTTAGTATACAAGAGCAAATATGATTTAGTAAACATAATGAAAATTGGCTAAGCTGACTACTCTGGTTGAAATAAACTTTGAAGTATATTATTTATTGAAAGAAACTGGTGCCAAGACTTTAAACGCTTAATAGATTAAAACCAACAATTCAGTTATACTTCAAACTGAATCAGTAATAACAGCAAGGCCTGTAGTATGAGAGTTAAATGTTCCCAGCATTTGGAGACTATTAACAAGTGGGCTGCTGCATTCAGGATCAGACATAATTTATAGGTGGTCTTTAAAGACATCCCCAAATAAAGCACACTGAAGTAGTCTGTATGGGTGGTGGTGAAAGCATAATTTACTACACCTAAGTCCTCCTGTACCATGTAAGGTTTTGGGTGATACTCCAGTTGTAGCTAGGCAAAATCCCTCTAGACAGAGTTTACATTTCCCCCTCATGCATCTGCCCATAAGTCCAGAAGAATCCACAAACTGAGAATCTATTGTTTCATAGTGGTGGCACCTGCCCATCCAGAGGCACCACTGGAATTGGTGGAGAAGCCAATGTACAAACAGCAACTCTGTCTTGCTTCCATTCAACGTTTGCCCATTTACTCCCATCCAAACCTTTGCAGTCTCTAGACACCAGGATAAAGCATCGGTGTCTCTCCTATCGTCTGGGGTAGCAATATATAATTGGGTATCATCATGGCAGATCAAATGAAAAGCCATAAAGAGCCCTAAAAGACCAGAAGAGGAACACTAACTCCAACAAGGTCATTTAGAAGTCTTCTTTGTCTCCTATCTGAGCCTGAACCCTGATTGAAAAGAATACAGATAATCTGCTTCTTTTAGAGTGTTATGTACTTAATCCATCACCATTGTCTCAACAACCTTTTCCAAGAAGGAGGGCTTTCTAGGATCACAGGAAATAATGTGGCCTTTTCAAAAGAGGCTCCTTCAGAGCTTCAGGCAGCTCCCCTTCCCTTAGGAAGGAATTAGCATACTAACATTAGATAAGTGATCACCTTTCTACTTATTCCTTGCCACAGTCAGGATGAACAGAGGTCCACATTATATGTTTGAAGGACAATCTAGAAAACTTTTAGACTATTAGAGACCTTCAGAAAAACACCCAATAAGTTCACCTTCAATTCTGAATTAAAGAAAATATTAATCATAATCTTAAGAATTTAAAGAATTTAAAATAAACATCTCAAAACTATAGATAAGGTTTGATCTTACAAAGTTATAAACAGACTAAGGGTCAGGTAAGTTTGGAGTATCGAAACTTTTATAATAATATTTTGAAATTAATTATAAAGAACAAACAGCTTCTTGGGATAAATAGATCTTTTTTAGAGATTGGGAACATTGACACAATGTCCACAGTGTCTGTCATTATGTCTGTCTCCATGGATAGACTCTGTCCAAAAGATGTTATTGAATCACAGATATGGAACAAATTTTACCTAACAAGATAGAGATGGTAGTGAAAGTGGATTTACAAACGACAGAGCAAAAGAACAACTTGGAAAAGGATGTCTCACTGTGTATGCAAAATAAACTAGCTGATGTTTTAAAACTCAAAAGGGAACATAGAAATGTCAAGTCCATACAATGACCTGGGTATTTTTTTCTTATTGGGTTTGCATGAGAGGTGTAATGTAATTATGGATGATCGTGCGGAAAAAGGGCCTCCAGTGGTCAGAGAAGGAAATGAAGAGAGGACCCATCTTTATAGATCAAATAGTTAAAAGTAGAGGAGAGAAGTTTGTACCTTCAGACTTTCAAAATTCTGTTAATGTAATAATGCCTTATGATAAAATATAATTTAGTTATGTTTCCTGTCTGGTTTACCTGGAAGGGCAGACATTTAGTTGTGTTTCCTGTCTGGTTTACCTGGAAGGGCAGACATCAGACAAGTCTGAAGTCACAAACATCCCTTTTCCATCTCCCCCTCCTCCACTAATAAAAGTATATACTAAATAAAATAATTGTTTGTTTCTAGTTTAGTCTGTTTCTTGTTCTACATACCATATAAACAGCACTGGATTCTCTATCTAACTGCCAAGTTTGTATTCTTTATTTACCTTCACAACTAGGTGTGGCTGCACTCCACTTTCCCAAATCTGTGCACTGAAGTTGACTTGTCCCAATGCGTACAAAGCCTATATCACAGGAGAACGCACAACTGGAATTATAAGCAAAACGTCCATGTGGATGAGAACAGTTTAATTCTCCATTCTTAGGAATATCCAAGTTTGGGCATTCAATAGCTAGAATGAGAGAGATTGTTGGTGAAAGAAAGAATTTTAACAGCCAGCCCAATCATTCCAAAAGAAAGTCCAAGAATGAAAGCAGTGCTTAGAAAGTGGAAGCAACTATTCCAGATTACAATATTATGGCTAAGTTGAAATTGTCCAAAGTTGAAAGAACTGACTAATGTTAGAAAGACACTACATTTCATTGCAGAAAACAGCAACAAAAATTAAGGTGAGGAGAAGGAACATTACCCTGGCATGCTGGTAATGGAGAACTCCAATGCCTGGTTGCCAAACAGAAGGTTGTGTTTGCTCCAGTCAAGAGAAAGCCAGGTTGACATGCAAACTGACAGGTGGATTGGTAAGCAAACTCTGCAAATGGGTGAGAGCAGGCCATCTCCCCATTTTTAGGATTCTGCAAATGGTCGCATTGCATAACTGAAATTAAAAAACATAGCTTTTATAAAGACACTGATGGATTTTTCTTAAAAGAAATCATGCTTAAATACTCATTTAATTACCCTTGTTTGACCAAGATTCATTTCTAATCTTTACTGATGTCTGAGCACTGGCTTTGACCAACATGCCTACCGTCCCTGTCCTATTGTTTCTTTTATTTTTCTTATATGTATCCATGTATTCATAACTATGTTTTTACTTATACCTATTATTTTGTAAGCAATTGACAAGCCAAATAATAAATAAATAAATAAATAAACTTTCACAGAAGGGTGATATTGTAGTCCATTTTCCCAGAGCTGTGCACAAAAATTGTACTGTTCGATCTTTCACAAAACCCTTATTACAGGAAAAGGCACAGGTGAATTAATAAGCAAATTTGCGCATGTGGATGGGAATAGCTTAATTTTTTCTTAGGGACCAAGTTTTTTGGCATTCAATGAATACAATAAGAGATTTCAGAAAGCACAGCTATATTAGAATCTCTCCTTGATCAGTTTCCATCCATTGTTTCTTGTCTGGCCTTTGGATGCTTTGGAAAATAGCTTGATCCCTTCTTCTCTGTGGCAGCGGCAACCCCACAAATATAGGAGTATTGCTATCATGTCACTCCTGGTCCTTCTCTTTAATAGACTAGCCATGCCCAGTTCCTGCAAACATTCATTGTATGTTTTAACCTATAGTTCCCTAATCGTCTTGATTGCTCTTCTCTGCACTCTTTGTAGAGTCTCAACATCTTTTTTATAGTGTGGTGACCAAAACTGGATGCAGTACTCTAGGTGTGGTCTTACTAAGGTTTTATAGAATGGTATTAGGAATCTTGATTCAATCCCTCTGTTAATGCAATTTAGGTTTGCACTGGTTTTTTTGGCTGCCATCACATACTGCTGGCTCATATTTAACTGATTGTCCACTAAGACTCCAAAACCCTCTCATAATTACTGCTATTAAGCCAGGTTTCACCTAATTTGTATGTATATTTTCTTGCCTAAGTGTAGGACTTTATTTTTCTCTACATTGAATTTAGTTTTGTTAGATAGGACCCAGTGTTCACATCTGTCAAGATCCATCTGGATCTTAAGCCTATCATCCAGGGTGTTGGCTATTCCTGCCAGCTTAGTATCATCTGCAAATTTGATGAGTTCCCCTTCTATTCCCCCCTCTAAGTCATTTATGAAAATATTGAAGAGTACAGGACTTAAGATGGAACCTTGAGGTACCACACTGCTTCCTTCCTTCCATGTAGATGTAGACCCATTAAGTACTACTTGTGAGTACGGTTTGTCAGCCAGTTACAAATCCATCTAGTGGTGATGCTATCACACTTTTTTCTAATTTATCAAGAAGTAGTTGTGGTCTATGTTGAATGATAAATAACCAGTTCAAGCATCACAAATTGGATGATCTGTGTATGCCCTTGTCTGTGCTTGGATTAATTTTTGGATTACTTTTATAACATTATGTTCTGTCTAGTTCAGTGGATGGGAAATGCTGGGAGGCTGATGAAGCAAGTCAATTCATGATTGCCAGTCTACAACTTCTACCTAACAATAGATTCCTCCTCCTTAATTGCATGAATGTCATGGGCATAAAAAAAGACAAAGATTTCTTAATAAAAAGAGAACAAAATAACTTTGCAGGATCCCTAATTTGTGTGCAAAACACAAGACCTTTGAGAGTAGTTAAGTGGCTAGTATGTTCTCACCAGAGAGAAGAAGTAAAATGAAATGAGAACCTTTGAAATGCTGTAACGTGAGAAGCATCTTTTTTGGAAGGGAGAAACCTTCTGGGATGTCTGGAACTCTGAAAATTGCCAGGGATGACAGTTTTCTTTTAAAACAGATTATCTCCAATGCATGGGAGAAATATGCTATTACAAATACAGTGGACAGAATTGGCATTGTCATTAAACTAGTACATTTTGTAACAATGGGGATGTGATAAATCAGTCAGAAGGCTTCCTTGTCTTCTTGCTGTACCTACTAAATATTACTCAATTCTCATCACTAACACCAGAATCTTGGAATTGAGGAGAAATAGAAAG